CCCCGCGCCGCGGAGGAGGCGGCGGCAGCGCCCGCATCTCGCGAGACTCGCGGGGCGGGGCGGAGTGCGCGCGGGACGCCGTTGCCAGGGAACGGCCGGGGGCTCCCTGAGGGACCGCGGGCAGGGAGCGGGGCGGGGGACCTGCGGCCTGTGAATAAAAACCCAGCGGGAAAATACCGCGGCGAGTGAAATGAGTTAACAAAACCGAAATCGCAACAAGTCACGTACAAACAAGATACATCCCCCGCGCAGCCCTCCGCCGAGAGCGGGGGCGGCCGCTCTGAGGAACCGCGGCGGCGCTGGAGAGCGAGCGCCGCCCGACGGCCGTGGGGAGCGGCGGGGCGGGGAGCCGGGGTCTCCTCCGGGGAGCCGGGGCTCCTCCTGAGGAGCCGGGATCGCCGAGGAGGAGCCGGGATTCCTCCGAGGAAGAGCCGGGGCTCCTCCTGAGGAGCCGAGATCTCCGAGGAGGAGCCGGGCTCCCGTTGTGGAGCCGGGCTCCCCTTGAGGAGCCGGGATCTCCTGTGAGGAGCCGGGATCTCCTCCGGGGAGTCGGGATTTCCTCTGAGGAGCCGGGCTCTCCCCTGCGGAGCCGGGATCTCCCCTCAGGAGCTGGGATCTGCCTTGCAGACCCGGGCTTCCCCCGAAAAGCCGGGATCTCGTCTGTGGAGCCGCCATCTCCCCCGAAGAGCAGCGCTGAGGGGATGATAGCGGGCCAGCTGCCATAGGTGAGCTGGTGCCTCTGATGTCTCAACTTTCATCCTAAAACTGATTCCTGATTTAAATTACATCTCTGTACCGCCCTAGAGGAAATACGGACTCTGTGTAATCTGCAGTCTGTTTAGGAATACAATTAGTAGACGTGGCTGTCATTCCATAAAACCCCAGGAGAACTACTCTGTCCTGCAGATTAGGCACCCTCAATGTACTGGAGTGTCACAGGTGGCACTAAACCCTTCCCACTCCTCGTGGGACAGAGGAGGGAGAATAACCCAATACTGAGCATACTCAATACTGAGCCCCAGGAAGATTGAAATCTAAAGAAGACATTTGCCTTTTTTTCTAAAATATTCTCTGATGCATCATTATTAAATACAAGCAGGTTTGACTTTCATACCAGGGAAAAGGACTTTAGAAATCCTTATGCACATTGGAGACAGGAGGGGAAGAGGGGACAAGAGAGCAAGAACTTGTGCCGTGTCCAAATACCCCATGAAGGATGGCAGCTTTGCTACAACAGACAGCAAAGCACGAATCTGTTACATGAATTCTCTTTTCTATCCTTTAACAATGGCCAGAGAGACAAACCACCCAGTTCTAGAAAGCCAGAGGCAGAACAATGAGGGGCAAGCAGCTGGCACAAAAGCTGTCAGAATGTGCAAACAAGGCAAGGAATCTGATGTCTGTCTTGTTTCTATTTGACTTCTTGTGATTTTGGATTTGCTAAATTTTCACAAGCTTGTTGGTTTTGTTTTGTTTTGGTTTTGTTTTTTTTTTTTTTCATGTGCTACTGTTTAGCTTCTCCTGAGGATCAATATTGATACTGGTGTTTTTTTTCAATGAGTCACCAGTGAGAGACACAATTGATTTTCACTGAGAATTCTGTAAAAGCAGGTGTGTACAGTCAATATGCATCTGCACAGGATAGGCCAAAAAAGCCCTTTGATAGATTACAAAGCAAGGTGATCCTTCCCCTCTCCTCGACACTGGTGAGGCCACATCTGGACTGGTTATTTGATATACCTTTATCATGCCTTTTTATTTCTTTTCTGACTGCTGCTGTTACAATTTATTATGATGAGATTTATTATCATACATAAGGGTTTCAGTGGCCGTATAATTTCTCACCATCCTCTTTCTGGTCCCCTCAATCTATGAAAGAGAGATGACCAAAATTGCACATTTTTCCAGGTGCAGATGAATCTTTACATTTTTTGGTATTAAAATGTTTTTGATAACATCCTCTGCCCCACACAGAAACTTTTGCTATTTTAATTGCTGCTACAATGATCAGAGGTTTAAGCTGAAAAGCCATAACAAATCTACTTTGTAGATAATTAGTAAGTAATTATATAAATATTACATCTTATTTCTAATGGCCATTACCTAGCACTAATCTGCCACTCTGTTGTCTCTAGTCCAGAGCACCACCTTCAAACTGACACCAGAAACCTGGGCGGGTGAGTCTGGTTTCCCAGGGAAAAAAAACACCCAGCTTGGGTCTCGGAGGCATCCTGCGGAACCTCAGCAGGCAGCCGGCCACCAAGGGCCACCGGCCCCTGAACTCCAGTGCCAGCCTTTTAACTGGGAAACAAAACTCACCAGCCCAGGTTGCTGGTGCCAGTTTGCAGAAGGTGCTTGGGACTCTCAAAGCAGCCTGAGTTTGTGGTGGTGGCGACTTTGATCAAGGAGACATTCTGCGCCACACAGAACCTCTCCTGTCAGCTGGCCACCAAGGGCCACAGGCCCCTGAACACCAACGCCGCCCCTTTTCCCTGGGAAACAAAACTCAGCAGCCCAGATTCCAGGTGTCAGTTTGCAGGAGGTGCTTGGCACTGTCAAAGCAGCCACAGTTTGTGGTGGTGGCAGCTTGGGTCTGGGTGGAATCCTGCACCGTGCGGAACCTCAGAAGTCAGCAGGCCACTCAGGGCCACAGACTCCTGAACAAAAATGCCGGCATTTTCCCTGGGAAACAAAACTCAGCAGCCCAGGTTCCTGGTGTCAGTTTTCAGGAGGCACTTGTGACTTTCAAAGCAGCCAGACGTTGCTGTAGTGGCAGCTTGTGTCTCAGAGGCATCCTGCCCCATGTGGAACCTCAGCAGGCAGCCGGCCAGCAAGTGCCACAGGCCCCTGAACAACAATGCCGGCCTTTTCCCTGGGAAACAAAACTCACCAGCCCAGGTTCCTGGTGTCAGTTTGGAGGAGCTGCTTGGGACTAAAGCACCTCCTCCAAACTCCTCCAAGTCATACTGCAAGTGTGCAGAAAGTTTAGATATTTCTGTAATCATCATTCATCTATTGGATAGCTGAAGATTGGGAGGAATTGTTTGTTTGCAGGATAGAATTTTTTTGTTTAGATCCAAATGAAACAGGTTATGATTTTGGCACTTGAAGATAATAGTTTTTGCATGTGTCATTTTTGCAAGGAGACATAAATAGATTTGTGCGAGGCAAACACTTTTGGTTTAACCACCATTGTGATTTTGTATGCAGGAAGAATGGAAGGGAAAATAAAAATTGCTCTCATCATTACTTTTGTGCTCATTTTGCTGTCATAAAATTAAATGACTTAATAGTCTTAACCCAAATGCTAAATTATATCCAAACAGTCACAGGCCAGTCAGTTCTTATGCTTTAAAATAATGTCCAAGAGCTTTTGGTCCACTTTATTTGGTAATATATAAGTGAGACATAAATACAAAAATGCAATTTTATTTCTTGAAGTTAGCACAGATGCCTGATTAAAGAATAAATAGAAAGTGCACCTTAAGGCTTTGATCCTACAACCAGACAGTTGGCACAGAGCCCTTGTGCCATCTGCTCCCAGCATCGGGGCCTTTGCATGGCTGCAAGGATGGCCGAGAGGATGGGCTGCAGCTCTCTGCTCACAAACACATCTCTAGCCCTCAGCAGGTTGCATCTGTATTTGTGGGGAGTTAGGAGGGGTCTGTGAGGCTCCCCAGGGCGTGCCAGACATCAAACAAGCAAATAAGAGCCAGCCTGGGAACATCCACTTGGGCTTAGAGCAGTAGTTGGTCTGGGTCTGGGCACTGCCAGTGGAAAATGTGGAGGCACCCGCCAGTATTCCTGCTGGGAAAACTTTCTCATTCATCAGAAATGACTGGGGCTCCTGAACACACGTGTGCATACACCATGCAAAGTCATTTTGTATTTGCTGCTTTTTAAAGTCATGGCCATAACTGATTTTTCCCTATACAATTCTTTCTGAGTCCTGCTTGGAGTTTGATTGTATTCCAGCTAATGGTTCCTGTCCCAGATTGATTTCTGCATGTTAATGGTTCTCCTTCTGGATGTCTGGAAAACTGAGATCCCAATTCCACAATCAATTGGTTAGGGAAATGAGTAATTTTATTCGTGAGAGCCACTGCTCTCACAAAAAAATTACACATGAGGCCTAGCACAACATATAGATGTTCAAAGACAGTTTCTAGAGAAAATGAGGGACAAAGAGTATATATCACAAGATTTTTGTTTCGATTGTAATTGTCTGGTGTAGAATCATTTCCCAGTTCTATAGTTAGGGCCGTGCTTACATATGTGCTACCAAATCTGCTCCCACTGTTTCTGCAGTTAATTACAGGGTTTCATCTTTAGGAGGAGGGGAAGGTAATCAAACCTTCCCTTCATTTCTGTATTTTGCAAAATTCCTTCAGAATTTGTTTTAATTTTATCCCTTTGTACTTTAATCTTAAGCTTTGCCTTCCTATCCTATTTCTTTTCTGTTTGCAGTCTTTAATCCTAAATTATTATTGTGCAGCTTTTGCTATGTAATTAATGTTAATCTGATTTTAGGCCTTCTTCTGAAAATAGATGTGGGTTTAATTTATGTATTTCCATTAGTACAAAGTTAAACAAAGATTAACCCTAGGCCCTTTCCTGGAGACAGGCTCCCCTGCATTTATTCCTTCCTGGTTAAGAGTACAAGCAGGCCTGGTGATGACACACAAATACTGCCCGTGTAAGAGTGGTAGAACTGGCCTTAAATGGTTTTCCAGCTTTCTTACTGATTTGCATTTATTTTTCCTTTTATGCTGGCAATTTATAAAATACATCAGCCAAAATGTACCCAGCAGTGGTCCTGGGTAGACTGTAAATACATTTATTATTTGGTTGTGAAATGTCTCACTCAGCGGGGCTACAGCCTTGAACAGAGCCTTTAATCCTTACTGCAGCTGGAATAAACATGAATGAAATGCCCTACTTGATCAATGCTACACAGACACGTGCTCACGTGGACGGACACAACGCTCTGGCTGCTCTCACTACGGCTTTGTTTTGAAGAGGACATCCATGTAAGCCTTGTCCAGATCCACGGATTTCTTCTGCGCTGCTGCCCGCAGGTGCTCCGGGAGCAGCCTCCGGCCCAGCACAACGTCGTCCTTGCTCCGAGGCCTCTGGGTGCGAGCGTCCTCCTGGGCACTGTGCACGTCCTGCAGCTTCATCTGCAGCCAGTCCTGCCTCTCCACCGTGTGCCGATGCTCACCCAGGTTATGCATCAACTGCATCTCACTCACAGACCTCCTCCTGCAGCAAAGAAAAGCAAAGACACGGGCCCATGGGAGCCCTTCTTGGGCTGCAGAACTTGGCTCAAAGGCCCAGCTTTGGGAACTTTTGTAAGGAACCACAATATGTAGCTGTAGGAGCTGCCTGGCTGATCTGTAAGGCATAGAATGACATCTGGAGAAGAGAGGTATTGTAGTAATTACATATCCTCTGAACAGAGAGAGACATGGTTCTCCCAGGAAAATCCTGGGAAGCTGTGTAGAAGCTGTGGGAAACTTAGACAAAAGAATTGAAACAATTATTGTCTCTCTTTCTGTAACCATTGTTTATAGATATAGTTCTCCAGAGTGTGCTACTCACAGTTCACCAATAATGTGAGAGAAGATTGTTAAAGGCCAATCAGGTCTTAGGTCCTTGTTTCTATAAGAACTGTGGATTTCTAATTATAAAATGCCTTTTCATGCCTTCTGATGATGGAGTCTCTGTATCACCTTTGGCTGTCCCTGACACCACTTTAGTGCTGGAGGGAGAGTGGAGGGTGACTTGTTATTGGTAATGGATCTATCAGTGAGAAGGCATCACAAGTGGGAAGTCAGTTTTGTGACAGTATTGTTCCTATAATTTAGTTCAGTCATTTTAGAGGAGCTTAGGGCTTTATAATATTAGGTAAGGGATCAATGAAACTATGGCATTTATTTAGTGGTAGTTTTCTATGTTCACTAGAGCTAAGGAAGCATAATTCCCTGTGGATTTGTATTTCACCTGGCAGATGTTAGTGTCTAAGTGTGAGTTACAGCTAGATTCTTACAGTACAAAAGATGTTCACCTGTGTAGACCCCCAAGACATGGAGCTTATCCAATCTGAATAACGAGAGAAGACTTACATGATTTTTATCCCTCTACTCAGCTGCCTATTTTCAAAAGATATGTATACACTCAGAGTGCCTGAGATCTCTAGAGGTGTTCCTAGAGGACAGAGTTTGGCCAGCTTGGCCAAGGGGTTCAAAAACAGGGACAGAACTCACACACACATGCACAGACAAACCACCACGCTCTCAGGAGCAGCAAAAGCCAGCCAGTGTGAGATAATGTACTTACACCATTGGTCTTCCATCAGAGGTTGTAAAAAAGCACATGGCACATAAAATGATTGCAGCCTGGGCCAGGTTTCTTATAGAAGTCATTTTGTCTGCAAAGGTAGAAATGAATACGCGTAAAGTCTGTAATTCAAGTTATTTCTGTTTGCTCCAAACTAATTTAAATTAGAAAAAAAAAAAAAAAAAGTTGAGAAACGTCAGACAAGAGTTTTTGAAAAATCTTTTTTGTGAAACGGGTTACAGCAAGGAATGCAAATGAAGGATTTATTTCTAATACTTATTTTGTGAGCAACTTATTGTTACTTCCTGGGCAACTCCGTGAATTTTGGTCATTTATCTGCCCTACATCATCATCATCATCATCATCATCTAGGTACCTATCTCTTGCATAATTGGGTGAAAAGCACCATGTTCTTCCAATATTATTATTACTGTCATTATCACCATTATGACTTTGTAACCTTCAAGTCCAGTGAAATACTTGTGTATAGCTATTCAAATGAAAAAATGTTATAGAATAAAACTTTCTCTATTTCTCTCTTTCTTTTGCATATTCTTTAGAATGGGGAGGCTGACACTTTCCCTGACAATTTTTCATAGAGGCATAACTCTGCTGAATTATCCCACAGTTCCTGTTGAGTTACAGAAGAAAAATCAGAATTAAGTCCCTCATTTCATCAGGGATAATCCTGCATTTCCTGTATGAATTCCCCTCTGATATTTACATCATCATCAGAGCTGCCATTTGGAATATATTTTAAAAATACTTACCGCTGATGATGCTACAACAGGTAAAAACAACCTGGTTCCAATACCAGGTTCAGTACTGGCAGGCAGAAAAGGCATCTTTTTGCTACCACTTAAGAAATTTGATACAGAGTAACTGAAACTGAAGAAATGTAAAACTCCACAATGCCTTTTTATTTTTTGCAATAGTTTCTGCAGCTTTGCTCTAGCTCAGAAAAGCATTTATAACACCGTCTCTTACATGACAGTATCAATGAGGTCCTGGCAGTCCATCTAACCCAGGATTATAAATTCAGGACTTGAATTCACTTCAAGATTTTCTTGTTCACTGTCTCTGACTTTTCCATTTCACAAATTTAGTTCAGATAACAGAACAGTTTGATCATATTAATATTCACTTATTTTTTAAGATAGTCTGAAAAGAAGCTGACACAAAAATGGGTAAACAATCAACGATAAAAAATTCTAATAAGTCTTCCAGAGAACTTGTTAAAAAGAAGAGTATACTTACCAGATAGAAAGTTAAAGAGTCTTCTTGCTTGGGTATGTCAGCAGATGACTGTCTCTTGATGTCAAGTATATTTAAAGACCACTGAATTGGTTTAGTGGACCCCCTAAAAGTAACTTTAAAATAGAGCTTCTAAGTAACTTGGAAGCCCTTTTATTGTCTCAGTTGATGTCACTGTCACACACACCCTCCTGACCCTCATGTACCCACCCTCAGATGCTTTCGTTGATTTGACATTTCATTTACAGGGTAAAGAGGCCTCAACAGAAAGTCAGTCCTGGGAAGCTGGGAGGAAGTTTTACTTTTAAATTCAGAATTGTGCTCAAGATAACGTGAGCTCTGAAGCTGTTGGAAGGATTTGCAAAGAAAACTTTGAGTTATTAAATGCAGGCAGGTAAAACTTAAATGAGACAGTAAGTGATCCACAAGTGAAAGATTACAACTAAATATTTTTACAAAATACTGAAAAGATAATACTTATAATACTTGTGGGAAATAAGAATAGTCACTCCAGGTCAGATATAAATTTATGTATAAATTTACTTATATTTACTAGTAAGGAGCAGAAGCCCCAAGAATGATAGGGGATCAAGTTTTTAATGAGAAGCTGGTGCCACTGAAAAGTTGTTGAAATGGTGTTAGACCCTCACTGCTCTGTTTTACCTGTATCTGTGAATAGCTCTGAATATCCCAAATGTGCTCAGTGGAATAAAGGCATTTGAAGCAGCTGAGATAAAAATTAGGACTTTATAAATTTTGGGAAAGAGATATAGAATTCTGCCTGCTTTCTAAGACGTGAAATGTGCAAATCAGCAGTATTTTCCCTTATGCATGAAGAAAGATTATTTTTGCTGTGAAGAAAGATATTTTTTCTTGTGTTAGATGCTTCTTCTGACTTCCAGTATATTTTTCCCAAAAAACCCAAGCAAGCATCCACAAACAAAAAACAGTCCGCATTTGCACATTGTAACCCAGAATTTGTAAGATATTATTGCTGTTACCATGAATGCTTTTTGTTTCTATTATGGTCTTGTTGTATCTCATAAAGAGTTGTAAAATTACATGGGGAAGGGGAGGGAAGAACCAGAAACTCCAAAAAGCTCTAGAGAGCTCATGATTCCCTCAGCCTATGGATTAGTGAGTAAAGTGAGAACTAATGAAGCAATTCACTTGAACAAGTCCAGGACAACAGAGTAAAGACAGCTTCCAGCATTATATTGTCAGCTGGCAATATCCTTCCCTCAAATGCAACATACAGGGGTTCATGGGAATATGTTTTATTAGGAGATTTGGATCTCCTGGAAACACCAGGATATTAACCTGAAGGCTAAAACATGACTAAAATATTAGTAAAGGATACTCCTAGGCATAATGTGACTAAAAATGTACAGTGGAATGGCATAACAGGTATGGATTTTAAAGTCTCCACAGAGTTGGTAATGGAAAACTCTCTTTTTAGATTTTACTGTAACATATGCAAAACCTTTAATGAAATTCTCAAGGTAATTTTTTTAACAGAAAATTACCTTGAGAGTAACCTTTAGCATGTGACAGCAAAGGCTGAAGTAAAGGACAAGTGCCTAAAAAACGGTGTCATTTTTATTCAAAGGTAGTGGTAGGTTGTACCTAAAATTTCAAACAAAGATGGCTTAACTTGATACCTTGAAAAAGAAGCAGTTTATTTCAGGAGAGTGAATTCACAAAAATAAAAATATTCAGTATGTATCCATTATTTGTAAACAAATAGATCCTGTGATGGTGATTAAAGAAATTTTGCATGGCAGCTCAAAATGGGCATATGCAGGAAAAATAACTTACTTGATTTGGATTTGGATTATTCTCCCTCATATCCAGAAATTATGGTATTTGAAAATACAGCTGGTAATAAGTTATCCAGTGTCATCCCTGTTTGCTAAACTTGGCATGTCAAATGTGGGAATGACAGATAATGGACCAAGTGAATGCAGTTTTTTTACCAGATACTGTAATTGTTTGCACTTTTGTTTGGACACAGTGTATCCAGTGTTTAATGAGGGGCTGAAAATGGTATTCAGCTCTTTAAATGTTTCAGTCAGAGGATGATTCATGTTCAGACTAAAATTTTTCCCTGTCTTAATAATCCTTTTAAAAATTCAGATCTCTTTTGGGCGCTACTGAATTGATCCCAAGAAACCAGGGCTAACAACTGCTGAACTGCTGTTCAGTAAGAGGCTTAAAACTACCCAAATTTATAGACACTGCCATAAAAAAGAAACAACAGATAGCAAAGTTAAATATAATCTCTTCAATTGAAAGGTATTTCATGATATTTTGTAGATACAGAACTGTGCACATAAATACAAAGGCAAAGTATGGATGAAAAAACCTGCAGGTTCTAAGGAATTCTTTGTGCCTACAAATGAGACCTGACCTGTGGAAGACAATTTTTGCTCCTCTTGGAATAAGAAGAGGGAAAACTCAGTGGATTCTGAGTTTCCATATTCTGAATGCAGCAGGCTAAGAATGAGCCTATGAGTGCAGGAATCAGTGGGTACAAGGGAACAGAGCAGTCAGGGGAATATAAACCATTAAATGTTCCAGGTACCTGCCAGACAAAGGCAACTGATTCAGAAACTGGCTGCAAACTCTTGGTGTAGATGTTGCAGTATCAATACTGACATTTCTTCTCCTTCTCCTCCTTTGGAAGATGACAAAGGGAGCACGGGCACCGTTTTAGGCAGAAATACAAAAATATTTCAAAGATTTTAGTTCACGTTTGTGACTATTTCTTCATGCACAACAGCAACTTTCCCAGGCTAGATCTAAGCTTGAGTAGCATGTTCTACCTTCACATAAACTCACAGAATGCTCTATGGACATGAGGCAGTATAATAATACATTCTCAAAAGTTTATTACAGGAAAGGCTTCTCCATGCCAGGAGGCATTACAGGCACAGGCAGGGGCTTCTGAGGATGAGGGAGAGGCCTGGAAACCCAAAGGTGCTGGAACCACAGTGTGGAAGAGCTGACCACAGTCTTTTCCTCTGACAAGAGTTTTTCTTGATCAGCCAGCAGCCTACCCTTCCCTGACCTTCCCTTATAGATTGTACAGATACCTGAACCAATTGGGCATGAAGAAATCCGTGTTGCTTTGTTTGCAGCTGATGTGCCACTGACGTTGAATTTGTGCCACTGGATGTAATCAGACTCCAGGGCTGAAAACAAGGGGAAAGCAATGAGACAGATTTTACAGCCAGGCAGGTGAACAACGACCATATTGCAAAAATCCTTCATTATTTTTAAACATTTTTTTGCATTCTATTCATTTTGTCACGGGAAAATAGTGTACCTCATCTTGAAATTAAACCCATCCTGAGGTACGCCACTGGAATATGGTTAAAGGACACAAAACTTTCTAGAATTCTACTGTTCAGTGACTAAAGCACATTTTCAAAAACTAGTGATGTAATCTGATGTATTAATATTCCTACAGAATTCTCCATTCTTTAGATGCAAGGTTTCAATGCTGCAGTGAGATTCCTGCAGTGCTATTTCCAACAGCACTTTTCCCACACTGCTTGTTGCTCCAGATAAAATGCTTTCTAACTGCAGCTGTGGCTTAAAGAATATTAGTAGGTCATTGAGCAGGGGAACAAAGTAATTGATGACAAACTGGATGATTGGTGAGGCAACTTTCTAAATGTGTCCAAGGAATGTTTCTGTCTTGACACAATGAAGAGCCAAAGTGACAGTCAGTAAACTCGTTAGGACTTCATTTGATTGACAAGATTTGTGGCTTTTCAAATACCACAGCAGCATGTCTGGTAATTTATGTAAGCAATGTTGGGCATCT